CTTTGAGGGAGTTAAAGTGAGAGATGGGAAAAAATGGCTGCATGGATGTGCGAGTGGAAATGATGGAGAGCAGCACATGGGATTGCGTGAGTTCACTGCTGAATGCGCTGGTCCTGTTTTTGCCGCAATAATGGACACTCCCCAGTGAAGATGCCAGCACAAGAGATGAGCAATAAAACTGTAATCGCCTAATGGCCATCTTTGCTCAAAAGTGCAAAAGAGAGTGACACAAACATTTGCAACCTTGACCATCATTGCTGTATTAGAAAATGTAAACATCTGATGAAAATAATGTATATGGAGATGCTTGAATTTTGCCTTTATTTTCTTCTATTTATTCTTCTTCTATTTTTAATTTTACGTCAGTATATTTACAATGACTTGAAGTTGAGTCTCCAGCTTGTGTGTCAACCCTGTTACCACCATGTTTTCCATTTTAAATGAATGAATTATTTCATAAATCAAATCAACTTTGACATCCTTTTAAGATGTCAACTCTTCAAGAATAATTTAAAATCTCCCTTTTATCACTTTACCTTATGTTTCAGTATAAAGGTTGGTTTTAAATGTCAATGCTGTTACCATTTTGTTGTTTTCTGAAGTGAACAGTTGGTAATTGAAAGGGGTTTGTAACGTGGGAAGCGTGACAACGGAGTTGAGGATCCACATGTAGCTTTATTAAAAAGAGTGGTCAAAGCAGGCAGGGTCAAACAGGTATAATCCAGGGCAGACAAAAGAGTAATCCAATAATCAGGCAAAGGTCAGGGCAGGCAGCAAACGATCAAAATCAATGTAAGCAGTCCAAGGACAAAAAACAAGCAAGGCAAGGAACACAAAGAACACGATGACAATACAGGTGATACAATAATCAGCAATGTGAGTGTGGATGAGTGCAACCTTTATTGTCACTGATGGGAAACAGGTGTGGTGTGATAATTAGTTCCTAGGCAGGGGTTATGGGAAATGGAATCCGGAGAAAACAAAGACGAGACCCACTATCGTGACAGGGATATTTGCATTCAATTTTCTTTTTAAGAAGCACCTTGTAGTTTTGTGACCTTGAGCACAAGACTTGTAATGTCAAATTGCTCTTGTTACCATCAGCCCTGTTTCTGGAGGTGTGTGTGTAAATAAATTCAGATATCTTTAGAAATAAACATTTGTTTATTTATTGATGAATGTTTAAAAATGACTCTTTAAAAATTACTTTATTATTAACCGGAGAGAGAGAGTGGTTCTACAGTGAAGTAGTGAGTAAAATTTGTGTGGGATGACAGTGATAGATGAGGAAGGGTGTGTTAACTGTATGAGCCACATGTCAAAAACACATGAACAAGACAACAGTGTTCTTTGTTTTTTCGAGATATGCATGCTTTCTCCTTGACAGACCAGAAGTTTTGTTGTGATCCTGCATTCATAAACGAATAGATGTATCATTCAAAAATGAAAAAAACTTTAAACCTTGAACATGTCAAGTTCACACTCATGCACTTCTATGTCCATATAAACTAAAGATTACAAATCAAAAAGTGTTTTAAGAAATGGTTAGATTTAGTAGAGACGACAAATCATTATCCAGTGTACCATTGTTTCAATAACATTACCTTTTCATGTTCACACTGAATGCACTTTTATTGTAGTGTGACTCCAGTTTTGTAGGTTGAGGGTGTAAAGGCTTTCGTCTGATTGCTGCCTCACTATAGCATGTGTATCTGTGATTTTGCTGTTGGGATGATGAGAGGAAGGGAAATGTCAGAGGAAAATTAAAGCGATTTTATCACCATGGCAGCTCCTTTTATGTCTTGCAGACCTGACGCCTGTGCATGAGGGAACCTACATTAGCATAACAATCAATACCACCGTGTAAAGGGAGTGAGGAAGAGACAGATTTATTATTATTATTATTATTTTAGATTGAGTGTCGGTTTCTTCCACTCCGAATTTACCTGCTGGCTGTCTCTGTGGCAGAGGTAAATTAAGTCAATCATGGCGAGCACATCGAAAAGGATGTGTGTGTGTATGTGTGTGTACATTTTATGTATTAACCTCTCTCTCCCTCCCTCCCTCTCAAACTCACTTTTTTTCTCACTTTGACAGATTCTCATTTCCAGGGAGAAGAAAACAGCAAGATTAGTTAAGCATTGGTGAACCTAAAGATTTATAAAACAGTCACATTTGCAAGCGTATGATGCATTTGCCACAATCTTGAGAACCTTGAGAAGAAAGCTCAAAAATATTATTTATAATATTATTGACTTAGAAATATTCATGAAGGAGTTTAGTTATATTCATTAGTCGTATTCATTCAATAAGAATTAGCATTATAAATGCATAGTTACGTTTCTAAAAACCCACTTCAAATGCATTTTAACCCACTCCCGGTCTAACTTTCCTTTTACTCTATAAACACTTGTTTTTCCAGGTATTTCATAATTAATAGTTTGATTAAGGCCACTGTACAGCCACAATAAATCTGCTGGATGTTTTTAGTCATTTAAAATATTTACAGCATTTAAAATCGAGTTATTAGCAAACATTCACTCAGAGAATACTAATACAGTGGTGACATAAAATTTATATTTCAAATTAATACTGTTCCTTTAAACTTAATATCCACTAAAGAAACCTGAATTTTTTTTTTGCAGTTTCCACGCAAATATTAAGCAGCAAAACCGTTTCCTTGAACAATCAGCATATTAGAATGATTTCTGAAGGATCACGTGACTGCTGAAAATTCAGCTTTGCCATCGCAAAAATAAATTACATTTTAAAATATATTAAAATAGAAAACATTTATTTACTGTATTTTTTATCAAATAAATGCAGCCTTGGTGAGCATAAGATATGTCTTTCAAAAACATTTTTAAAAATCTGTCCGTCCCCAAACAGTAATGAACAGTAATGTACAGTGCATATATTTATATGTCTGTGAAATAATCTTATAGTAATAGTACTTATTACATTTGAACAGGCAACTCCTAACTCCTAAACTCCTAAACAGAACTAAAAAAAACTGTTAGAGTGCATGTCAGTCAGCTGGTTTCTCCCTCTCTAAAGGGGGTTGTTGGCTAGAATAAGCTGCAGTGTGCTCAGACCTTTGCTGTTTAGTTAAATGTCTGGCTATGCAAGACTGACGTCCCAGCTGTGTTGTACTGTACCATTCCTGTAGGACACTTAGGGCATGAACAGAGAATACAGATGAGGTGCAATGTGCTTTAGGTGTACGTGCTGTTGTTTGTCACTTTGTGGAAGATGATGGCATTAAGGAACAAAAAAAAAAAAAAACTGGATTGACAGTGAAATTGGGAAGAAGAAGGCTAAAAGGAACCAAAGCTGTCATTACCACTTCAGTGAGCAGTCTAGTCCATCTTTAACCCTTTTATGCCTCAGCGGACCAGAGTCATTCCAACAACAGCCCTGCAGTGAGACATTGATATTGAAAAAGTTCTCCTAAGATGTTTATGGTATGTGTTTATTTCAGTGAATGACAAAACAACATGGTGTTGTGTAATGGTTAAAGGACTGGCAAGCAGAAGACTGCTGATTTGATCCACAGCGAGTAATCCATGAGTGTTTACTATTGTGCCCTTGAGCAAAGCACTTAACCTCGGGTTGCTTCCAGGAGGACTGTCAGTGAATGTATGTAACAATAAGAGGGTGAGTAAATGATGATAGAATTGTCATTTTTATATAGATTATCCCTTTAAATATTCTCAGATTTAGGGAAAAATATAGTGTGAGGCATAGTTATAAGGCAGTTTATTGTACA